AACACCCTTCGACGCTGTGACGGCGCACAAGCACAGCGTGTGCAGACGCTTTGTTATGACATCGCATACGCAAACTTGGCCGTTTGGCCGCTGTGTGGCATCTGACAAGCCGGCTTTAACCTTGAACGTGTCATTTGGTCGCACATGCCCTCACGTTCACAGGTGTGCCGAGAGTGTTACCCGTTTGCGTTTGTGTGTATGCAGGTCTGTGATAAAGTTAAATGCTGCAAACGTGCGCGTCAAAAATGTCTGCATCATTTGCGGCGGCTAATTGAAAAATGTCAAGAAATGTAACAAGCAATTAAACCGAAAGTGGTTCGAGTATCATCTCTTATCGCGCAATTCATGAACATCTGATGCCTGACAATTAAAGCTTATGTTCTTCACTGCATTTGGAGGCGAGTGATTAAGTTTATTGATGCGTTTAAAAGTATGACAAATCACTTTGTATTATTAAAATATTTTTTTGACAGTCAAGGTCGTCAGCAGTATGAATGGCAATCGTGTTGCTTATTGCCGAAGATTTGGGTTACTAATTACCATAGAAGCATGGATAATATATATCCAATGTATTTTTTTATAAGAAATGAACTACAGATCTTTAATAAGATTTCGAACGTGGCTTTGATGTGTCCGCAGATTTATTATAGATACCACATCATGTGAGAAACTATAAAAAAAAATTAATTTTTTAGTACTTAAAATTTAGAATATTTTTACGGAAATTGGTTTAAAAACTAATATTGTAATATTAAAGAATAATACAATAATAACACTAAATATAAACTAAATAACGGTAATCTGTCGAACATATGTATATAAGACGACAGCTGTTCCAGCCAGTTCATAACCCGCTTGTGGTGTGTGTCTTGACTAAAACTCCCCTCGAAATGTTTATGTTTCGACTTTAAATTGAGGAAAACTTGTACAGTAGTTTTGAAAGTATTGCATGTCTGAAACTTTAAATTTTTTTAATCTTTATGATAATTTGTTTGAGCAATAAAAAAAAAACTACACGGGTTTGGTGGCCAAGGATGCAGCAAGTCAATAAATGATATCCTGTTCTGATGTGAACCATATTCTAGCGGGCGTATCGACCGCTAAAAATAGTTGTCAGAAGAGGCAAGGTCTGGGTTATAAGCCGGGTGAGGTAAAACTTCTCAGTCCCTGTTTTCAAGTAGTTTTTAACCGATCTTGCAAAATGAGGCAGGGCGGTGTCATGATAAAAAATTTTTGCTGAGTGTCTGAATGCAGAGTCTCTTTTTATTTTAGTTTGTGAGTGGTTATTGATAGCGTTCCACATTAATAATTTCACCCAGTTTTAAAGCTCTTAATATAATACGCTCTTCTGATTACACCAAATAGAGAGCATAACTTGGCGTCATGAATATTCGGACTTGCCGGTGATCTGGTTGTTTGGTCAGGTTTCATATATGATTTTTTGCATTTAGGGGCATCAATCGATGCAAAAACGACTTATTTTTGACGCGTTCAAGCAGCACTTCTGACATGCAAAATCGGCTGGTTGAGTGACTCCCAAATATTTTGTGAGTTTTTCTAGTACTTGGCAACCACTTAATTTAGTAATGCTTCCAGTTCCTCATCTTTAACACTCTTTAGGCCGCTAAGGATGACCTAGTTGTTGCTTACGCTTCAAATAAATGTCATGTGATGAAAAAGGCACACATGGATAGTAGTTTTCCAAAGCAAGTTCAGAATATTGGAATAATAACAGCACGAATTTAGTTATAGAATATATGTGTAGATATATAACTAGTGGCATTAAGTGCAATTCTTTAATTTCTTTGCTTTTTCAAAAATGATTAAAATTTCGTGAACATTTACAAAAGCCTTGAGGCTTTGGGTCAGACAATATCTACAGCTGCCATCAATTCAAATAAGTTATTACTCGAATAAATGACTTTAATTCAAAACAAATTTGTTCAGTTCATTTTTAAGTTGAGATTAATTTTAGCGGCTGGCTAATTATTACAAGAAGTAATTAATCACAGCGATTATAGTGTGGCTAATTAGAATTCTTACATATTTAAGACCACCTGCTTGCAATACACACACACTCACATGCCAACACTCACACTAACACTCTTTCGTTACAGCGCACTACCAACGTTAAGCTGCTATTAGCTGCCTCCTGTTGTTTCTCTGTTCAATAAATAAAACCATATATGTTAAAGCTTTACTTTTGCGCGCATATATTTTTAATTGTCAAACAACAGTACCTTTTAATTGCATACATATAATTCACCTACAAACGCAAATGAAGTGTTGCGCATGTGTGGAAGTCTATTTTGTATTTGTGTTTTAGAAAAGTTATTAATAACCGCCACAGTTTCGACTACATCCGCATATGTAGCATGAAGTCGCCACCATTGACAATGCTATGTGGCAAGTGGTAAGCGGAGCAGCTTTTTAATTTGCGGTTTTGTTGTTTGACTCGCAATGGAAACGACCTTGAACGACCACGATGACTTAGAACAACTATGGCACTCTTAATTGCACCCGATATTTGCTCTTAATACCAATTTAATCAATATGCGTGCGTTCGTAAGCAAATCAGTGTAATTACGTGTGTGTGTGTGTGTTTGTGTATGTAATCTGGTCTGGTCTGCATGGCTTGTACCAGCTGCCAGCGAGTTATGAGTCAACAGGCAAGAACACTCTCGCTTAGAATTCTCAAAGCGCCAGCACAGTTGAGTTCAAAAATAGTTACTAATTTAACTAAAAGTAGTTTGACTCGTGTTTTGTGTGTGTGTGTACAACTAATAATATTGGTACTTTATGTATTTATTTAGAAAGTAGTTTTTGTACTTTGTGATTGCGATTCAGTTTCTGATTGTCTGTTTGTATTTTGATTAGATTGGCTGTAATTTTAATTTGTTTGCATGGAAATGTCTAGATTTTCTCACTTGAGATTTATATGTGTGCCTGGTACTTAATTAAAAATTCTCTAGTTATTAAAAAGTTTAGAATTTCAGTTGATTCCTTCGAAGCTGTCTCAGCTCGGCCTTGAGTTAATACAAAATTTATTGTAATATTGCGTTAAATTTTGGCGAATCCAAATGAAGTTGATGTTATATATTTTTGAAGAACATTACCACAACTACTCATTCAAAGTATTACAAAAGCTGAGAGTAGTAAAGCAAAAACTAGAGCTTTCAGCAGCAAGATTTTATTATATTGCATATGATTTTGAAATATGGATAAAATGTATACAAATATAATAATAAAATAAAATACAAAATATTACTTTACGTGTATAATATAATTGTTAATGAATTTTATAGCGAATTTTCTTAAAGGCGTTATTTTCGATAAATAAGAGTAGATTTTTATTGGTTTATGTAGAATGTACATATATTTGAGAATATCCTCTGAAAAGGTGAAGTTGGTGCGGCAAATAGTTCTGGAGATATAAGCGTATTTTATAACTTAGTGTAATTAGCTGATAAAATCGCAATTTTCAAAGATGGTGAAGAAAATATCTCCGGAACGGTTGGACTTGAACTGAAATTGTCGAAGGACTTTCTTAGATATATATATATATATATGTCAAGTAATGAACGAAGGAATAAGATTTTTGTGCATAATCGCGATTTTTTAAGTCACTCTGAAGTGTGAATTTTTCACTAAAATTACAAATTTTGACTTATCCTTAATCATCTATAATTATAATAAATTTTGGTGTTTTTTGGATATGAGATAATTTTAGGCAGACAGCTTGACACCCTTTTGGTTGTCCGTCTATAGATTGTCTGCGGGTAAACCCAATATTTCAAAATGCAGCGCTAATTATTAAAGTACATTAAACTCTGTGAGTGTGCATTATTTCTATTTATTAATTTAATAAAAAGCCTTTTTAAAAGAAATCACGAAACCCCACGTTTTGATTGACTTGCAAGTGAGTATAGCCCCATAAGTAAAAAATCAATAAAATTAAAATTTGTTAAGCAATTTTTTCTTTCTAGTACTTGCCTTTCATTGAAATTAATAATTTTTCTGGTTTTTCTTGAAATCTACTATTTCAATATAAAATTTTTATTTTACTTTAATAAAATACATATATGCTTTCCACTCCTTATCAGATACGCAGTTGTAAGCAATATTATTTATAAGTCTTCAATACTCATTTTATTCAAAATTACACGCATATAATTAATGTTGAATACAGCTTTTAACAAGCTTCGGATTTGTGTGTGAAAATTGCCAAGCTAAGTAGATGGTTTTTCGTACTCCGCTGACTGACTGAATTTAGCCAATTTATATATCTATACAAAAACAAATGAGTAAAACATATTTGTAATTATTTTTCTTACGAATTTTTATTATTCAAAAAATCATTTCGTCTTAACACATATTTACACATTTACAAAATACATACATAGAGTACATATATAAAATTAATTTATACACATACAATAAAGATAGAAAGAGAGAGAGAGAAAGAGATGTTCATTACAAATGCGAAACGAAATTTTTCTGAATTTCGAAATAACTAATGATTACGGCAAAATTACAAGTGACAAAGGTAAAATTAAAATACCGTTATTTAATTTTGTGTTACTTGTTTTTGCATTTGTTATGATAAATACACTAAATGTTGCTAATATACACATATATATAGTGAGTGGCATAAGTGGTAATAATGTTAGCTCTAAAGGTGAACTGGCAAATTTTGAACAAAATGCGGTTGTGTGCAGGGTCTTTGCAGGCACTACAAAAAACGCATTATTTTTCAATGGGTTTTTAATTGTGGGTGTGTCTACTGACAAAGTTCGACACAACTAAACCATTTAACGATGTAAGCAGCCAGTTGTGTGTTGTCCTAGACAAGCAGCTCTCTTTGCTTTTTTAAATAATTTACAAAAGTTGTAAATACTTAAAACTAAGTGGCAGGGTTTACATATATATATAGTTAGCAATAAGCGATTTCCAGTGGCCGAAAAATGAATTTTAAGTGAGCGGATGTTCTATTCATATTACGCTAGTTAAGTTAGTTTCAACTCGAGTTTTTCATTTCTTTTGTTTCACTGCCACTTCGTCAATGTCTTCGCTTTTGTGTATTTATGCTTCTTCTAGTTGTTGTTGTGATGTTTTACCATTACAATTACTTCAAATACAGTTAATTCTTTTCGGCACTTGTTTGCTTTGTTTTCGTTTTTCTACTCGTTTTGCTCGTAATGTTTCTCTGCTTTCTTACTAAATTTTCCGAAGTCGCATTGCTAAAGACTTCCTTCTCCTCATAATTTCATAATTAACACTAAAATTCATTCAATTAATTCCGCCTTCAATGCTGAAATCATATACACAGTAATCGTAGAAGCTGCAGCTCCACAGGCAGGTTTACTTCTTTTTATGTGCGTAACCATGACCGTGTCCAAGGGACGAGTAGCCGTAGCCGCTGGATGAGAAGCCATGTCCACCGTAACCGCCATCATATCCGCCGCCGCTGATAGCAATGGAGGGTCCATGTTCGACCAGCGTGTGTCCGGCGACGACTGGCACGGGTACGGGTACAGCAACGGGTTTCTGAACAGCCACTGGTACTGGGCGTGTCACATGCACTGCGTACGGACGGTCGATTGCCACCTTCACGGGCACTGGCACTGGACGGTCTACTGTGTAAGGTACATGCTTTTCAACGGTGTAAGGTTGGGGTACATCGACTGGTACCTTAACAGTGTAGGGGCGATCTACAGGCACGGGATAGGGTCTGTCGACGCGTACTGGTACCTCAACCTTGACTTGTTTCTCCACCACAACTGGGTAGGGTTTCTCAACGGGCACTGGGTAGGGCTTGGGTACAGCGACTGGTACGGGACGATCGACTGGCACATGTACGGGCACTTGCACGTGTTTGATGACTTCATAGGGTTGTGGCACTGGCACTTGAACCTTATAGGGCACTTGGACATGCTTGATCACTTCGTAGGGCTGTGGTACGGGCACTTTGACGGGCACTTGAACATGTTTGATCACTTCGTAGGGCTGTGGCACGGGCACCTTCACTGGGTAGGGGCGATCTACGGGCACGGGTACTTTAACTTCGACACGCCTTTCGACGGTGTAGGGTTGTGGCACATGAATGGGCACCTTGACGTACTCCTTTACCGAAACTGGTACTTTGCGTATGACTTCGTAGGGCTGTGGCACAGGTACTCTCACTTCGACGGGCACTTGTTTTTGATGCACAACTGGGTAGGGACGGTCGACTGTCACTGGTACCGGTACACCCTTAGTGATGGTGATGGTCTTATGTACATCGGCAGTTTTGCTGATGAGGAATGGAGAGTGCCCTATTCCAGCGGATGCATAGCCGGTTTGTCCATAAGAGACGGCGGCTGGTGCAGAGTGACCAGACACAAGGCCATAACCATGTCCGTAGTCAACACCACCGTGTCCGATGTAGCCAACATCTAGTCCGGAGTGACCATAGCCGTAGCCGAGGTCAAGCAGACCGCGCTTGTCGAGCTTCTTCTCGAGTGGCACTTTCTTGCCTGAAGCAGAGCTAGCTGCGGCCTCGACAGTGGCCTTCTTGGCGGTGTCGCCTGCGTAGGCAGTGGCCACAAGCAGAGCGGCGAAGCAGATCTAAAAAAGTTGATTTTATTTAGTTTATTCTAATATTTGAGTTTCATAACAGTTAATTTTTGTCTCTTTAAAAATTCAAGGTTTAATTTCTGTTGAAAAATATTTCTTTATGTAAATTGTGTAGTTTCTACTGTAAGTTATTTTTTTTATTTCTTAAGAAAACTATAGTTAATATATTGCATAATTCACCTAAGTGCAAGTGTGAACATGTTCGACTCCTAACTCTTTGATTGTAAGGGCAGCCTTAAACAACTATTAAAGGCTTACAATGAATATTCAAATAAATTTTATAGAAACAAATGTGTGCTTGTTACAGCAAAAACACATTACGCAAAATGGTAAACATTGCCAGTGTGGCATTTCGAATTTTATAACATTTCTATCAATCAGTCGCTGCTTAAAGCCATCTGTCGTACGTGTTTGACATTAATAATAACGAAAAAAAGTTGAATGAAAAAAAAACGTATTACTTCATAGCTGCTATGGAACGCCAATTTGAGCAATCAGCGAGCGAAAGTATCAACGCTCAATGGCCAACGCTAGCCGCCAATGGTGGTGCACATGAACGGCGGTTGGTGAAATTGCTTTTGACACTCGTCGATAATCGATAAATGCTAATAAAATTATATAACATCACAATAACGGTGCAGTGCAGCTCAAGCGCCTTATTAAAGTTTAGTTAAAACGAAGACAGAATGCTTTTGAATTTATGTCACCTGTGGACCTTAAATAATTAGGCCTCCGCGATTTAGTGTAGCGTAGAAAAAAGTTCCGTAAGCCGCTAACTGAAGTAGCGTAGTATGAATGAGCAAGTCGTAAGTTGCAGTTATGAGTTGTTGCTGTTTTTATGCGCTTCTTTTTCATTTTCGATTTTTATCTTGTTGTTTGTGTGTTCATAGCATTTTCATTTTGCATGCGCTTTTGCATCGCTGCCATTAGCGATTTTATGACTCTTTTATGGCCTGTTTGTTTTACAATGTGTCTGCTGTTGACGTTGCCTGGGGTCTTATTTTTGATTTTTTCTGTAAAGTTTTGTTTGTTTTTTTGTATTTTGCGGTATTTAAAATAATGGGGCATTGTTTATGTTCATATAAACTTGTGTGTCAAGAAGTGCTACGACAATAGGGAGGAAATGTGGCTAGTTTGCAAAGTGCTTGCTGCCAAAATTTATTGCCACACATTACTTAAAAGGACCGACCGCTGTAAGGTGGCCATAAATCTAATGATCTAATGGCTTATAAATCTTATGATTGCACACCAACTTTTTGTTGGCAGAAACGCTTTGTGAAATCAAATGTGCGAAGTAGGTCAGTGTTTAACTAAGTGCTTCTAAATATTTTGGCTCTAAACTACAAAAAAAAAAATTTGTACAACAAATTCAGTTAGATTTGGAACTAGTAAATATTTTGGAAAGATAAAAAAAGTTGCAGACCAGTTCCAGATTCCAGAACTTAGCATTCAGTAAAGTATTCGAATTTATTTAGTATATAGTAATATGTTGAGGTTATAAAATTCTAATTGATTATTTTTTAATTCTATATTTCCAAATTGTTTATTCTTCAAATATTTTTTTTCTTAAATTTAATTAAAAAAAAGATAAACAAATTTTAATAGAAAGTCATTCCCGAACTTTGTTTTAAAGAACATTTTTGCAAAGTAGTCAAAAAATCTATAATTCGAAAAAAAACGAATTCAATTAAAAAAAAAAAATTTTTTTTTGAGAATATCAGAACTTTTCCTTTAAAAAAGTGTTTGCAAAGTTCAAAAAAAGAAATTAGAATTCGAAACTAAAATGTAATTAAACTTAAAAAAGAACATTTTTAACGTTTTGTATTAAATATTAGTTTTTCATTTTTAAGATTTTTTTTGTTTTCCCAGTTAATTTTTGAGCTCTTTCAATTAAAATTAATTATTGTTTTGTGAACCAATTATTTCGAGTTGCTTTGTTTTTTAAAAGTTACACTCATACTTACAAATATTTTCATTTTCAGCGTTCCTTTTCAGTCAACAGCAGAATTATTCACAAAATACCGCCAAAGCACAGCTACGATGACGCTGCAAATATTAAACAGAATTTGTGATTACTCAATGCGCCTGCACTATGTTTCAATTAGAGTTTTCAAAAACGCGTTCAAAATATTTCAGATTCAAAACACAATATTTTTCATAAATTTTTAAAGCTTTACTTTGATAGTTTTTGTCGCAAGAACACAGAAAAACACACTTACATTCACAGCACTTGCACTAGATCACTTCAAACCCCAATGCAAAATAATATCAGCAAATTTGAATTTGAATAAAAATATATATAACTAAAGCAGAATTATTTGTAGAATCGCCACGATTCCAAAGTTTTGACTGGATGCTGCTGTTGGCCAGCTGCTGGCTTATATACCGCGGCACATATTTTCAAAATAAAAATTCCAACTCGCAAAAGTTAGCGGTGAGCCGCCAAAAGAGCCAAAGCCATGGAAATGTTACGCAGTGACGTCGGCAGCGCTGCTCTGCCGCATAGAAATCGAAATTCAACGCGCAGTGCTAGTGAAACACTAGTGACTTTGCGTGCTACATGAGCGAGTGTGCGCGCGCTCACCATGGTTTCGTGATTACAAAATCGCTGCGCGCAGCCGAAGTCAGAACGGCGGTGTGTATGTATGTTTTGTGGAGCGGAAAACGGCCTCTAACGAAAGTGAGAGTGCCTTGAGCAGGAGCTGCGCAGTCTGGCTGTGCGCTTCAGTGCGCGGCGAGTTCGTAGCTGCAGTCTTTTGAATTGCTGTGCTCATTGCGACGGTGCTTGCTGAGTGAGCGACGAGCTTTTTGGCTTCGCTTGTAGTGGTACAACTGCCGGTTGAGGAAATGTGGTGGTATTAGTGAAGAGCGATAGTGTGGGTTTGCCGGTTAAATTTGCTTCCGTTGCATTTCGCTATTAAATGTTAGCGTGGCTTAACCTACATATTTTAATGTAAACTATTTTTTGTTTATTCAGAAATATTTAATTTGAATCTGTAAAAATTTCTTTGCATTAAACTTCTATAAATAAATGCTCTTTGTACTTCACCAATACTTAAAAAGCTGCTGCGCTCACCAACACATTGAAAAAGTTAGGAAATTTGTTGAAGTGTGCATGCTTTGCAGCCGCTAGCAGATAACTTTTCACGCATACAAACTCACAAACTTATACTACTAAACTGAAAGTTGTGACTGTATTGAGTTTATTAAAATTTTATAACAACTTCTTATTTTAATTTTTGTAAAATTTTTTTAGCAACTTTAGTGTAGGCCAGTAGCAACTGTATGCACAAAATTTCCGCAGTATTTCTAGGTAATTCAATTTTATAATACTGTTATGCATCTAACGGCTTATGGCTTAATTACAACTGTAAGTGGGAAAGAAGGAAGAAATAGTAACAGAAATAACTTTATATGCTTATAATAATATTTATTTACTTATATAATATAATATTACTTATCCATCGAGCTTCATTTAAAAATGTTTGGATTTCCTTGATCCCGTAGCCGATCTCAAGGAGGACCTCCTAAGAAAGATCTGGCTGTGAGGAAGATTTTTCTTCTAAGAGGATGAATTAAGCTGATGATCGAAGATTTAGTTAAATTTAAATTTCCACTTTTGACAAAATGGCGGTCTCTTATTTATACTTTATGTCACTCTAAACAAATAAAAACGCTAACTTCAGTTGTATCGAAGCTTTTTAGCCCTTCAAAAATACAAAGGGCTTCTTACAATAACTTAGTTCCGATCGTTCAGTTTGTATGGCAGCTATGTGTTATAGTGGGGAGCAAAGGACATGTTGAAAGTTTCAGATCGATATCTTGACAAATTGGGTACTAATTCCGTGTATACAGACAGACTGACAGACACATGAACAGACAGACGCACATTCGACTCAGCTCGTCATGCTGATCATTTATGTATACATATATTTTATAGGGTCTCCAACGTTTCCTTCTGGATATTACAAACTTCGTGGCAAACTTAATAAGCCTTGTGCGGGACATAAAAATTAAAGCTATTATCAAAAGCTTTTTTAATTCAATGATTACCTGGAAATATCTCTAAGAATGTCCTGTGTAAATTATGTCGCTACGTTTAGCCGTTTCGGAGAAATTTTCCTCACCGTCTTCAAAAACCGCATTTCGAGAAAAACACCTTTACAGTCTTGGAAGCAGATTACATAAAGTTAAAAAACTGTTGCGAATGCCCTCCTGTTTCCTGAACTATTTGCCTGATCAATATCCAATTTTTGGATAATATTTTCATTTATAGGTACATTCGATATACCTCTATAAACAAAAAAAATCGATTTTTTCTTCTTTTGAATTTCACAGTTGATATAATCGCTTCAGTGGCATGCTGCAAATTTTTTCCTTAACGGCTTAGAGAAAATTTTGACCTTTTATTTTAAATCAACACCGGGATGAATTATTTTTTAGCATTTATTGAGCGCACTTTTTTTTATGTAGCGCAATTTAACTTTTATATTTTTTCGTAAACGATTTCGACTAGTTTTTGGGTTAAAATTTTTATAACTACTGTAAAATAAAGTCAAGTATTTAATTTTTATTTAATTTAAATTCTCCTAAATTTCACTCCTAAATACTAATTTTAGTTTATTACATCTTCTCTTAACTATTAGCATTAATTATTGCGCTTCCAGCAAATCTTTAGAACCCAATCCCGGTTATTATCGCCACCGAAACGGCTTTCGTTTGTTTGCACGTCAATTAACATCAACCGATTTTTATTGATTATGCAATTTATTTATTTTACTTCCCGAAACTGGTTCTGAGTTCGATAAAACCTGCGACGTGCAAAAATGCTGCTTTCTTTAAAAGGTGTTTCGTATAATTTTTCTTTTTTGCATTATATAAGTGGTCCGGTTAGTTTGATTTTGTGACAGGTACAATTTGTTTGTCTACAAAGGAGAATTTTATCAGTAAATGTTTCTTTTGTGTCGCATTCAGGTGTTGAGACGAACAAGTTCGAATGGCTGTCAAAATACGCCACACTTCTGCTTCGGATATCAAGTAGGTAATAAATTAATTTTTGGTGGGTTTAGCGTTATTCTTATTGATATGAGTTTGTGTTGGCTTTTTGGGATTTTCAGATGGTTATACGCAAACATAATGCTTGCTTTGATATGATAATGCAGCGGGTAATATTTAAAGTTATGATTACTGTATAAGCTTAAACGGGAATCGCCGCCGCAAAAACTGATTCGGTAAGAAGTTGAAGTTGTTGTGTGCATAATTTGATAAGTTTAGCTTTTTAATTAAAGGAACCGGCTTGGCGGGCATAAATAAATTAGCCCATTTTTCATACCCTGCTCTGATGTGAACTATGTTCCATTGAGGATGTACTGCATCGACCAGAACAAATGTTAGTCACAAAAGACAAGGTCGATGCTATTAGGCGGTTGAGAGAAAACTTCCCAACCACTGTTTTCCTAAAGTTTTTGCCCAGTTTTACTGTGCTTTGGCTTTCATGAAGAAAAATTATTGCCTCATGTCCAGTGCAAGTTTCGGGCGTTTTTAGCAATCGATCGCATCAATTTGTTGATTTGCTATCGATAACGCTTCACTATTAATGACTTCACTAGGTTTTAAAAGCTTATACATCACGCTTTTCTGATCCCCACAAATACGGAACATAACCTTGGCATCATGCGTATTCGGTTCTGTGTTTGCTTTGGGTATTTGGTCAGTTTTCACATATAATTTCTTCTGTTTAGAGTCATCGTAATGGATCCATTTTCATCACCAGTCCCAATGCAATGCAAAAACGACTTTCTCTTCTAGCGTTCAAGCTACATTACTGACATGCAAAATCGTCTTTCTGTGTCGCTAGGCTTCAATTCATATGTCACCTAATTTCCAGCCTAATATCCAGCTTTTGAAGGTTTTGAAATGGCTGTTTAAGTGACTCATAAAGTTTCTGCGAGCTTTTCTAGTGTTTGTAAATAATCTTCATCGAGTAATGCTTCCAGGTAATCATCTACAAACTTTTTTGGCCGCCCAAAACGCTCTTCTTTTTTCTAGGCCAAATCACCACTTTGAAATCGTGTACTCCACTGTTTGCACCTTTGCTCAGCTAGAGCATATTTACCATAAATTTCCACCAAAATGCGATGACTTTCCGCTGAGGATTTCTTCATATTAAAGTAAAGAAGAAGAACTCTCCGCAAAAACACTTTTTCAGACACAAAGTTCGACATATTTGAGTGAAAAATATCCACAAGCACAGCATTTTTCCAACGCATATTCGGATGGTTACACCATCTCTTGACAAACCTCACGAATATAGTTAGAGGCCCAATACATCGTTTGCTTACTGTAAGATCAGCACATCTCAAAATTTGCTATTTCGAGAAAAATGATTTTAAAGTTTTCAAGTTTTCTCCCTTTCTACGGAATAATAGCGGTATAGAAATATGAAACTTTGACAATTATATAAAACGTATTTAACTCAAAAACTGCTCTTTTGGAGTTACGATGTTCTTACAGTAAATAAACATTGTGAGTTTTATATTTTATTGAAAAAATTTAATTCACATATTAAAATAATAATTTTGAAAAAAAGCTTTTTTGTTGAATAATATTGTGCTTTTAGAAATTCTTATAGGTTAGGAGACTACTACAATAACGATATATAGAACATAAATAACTATCTTTCAAGGAAGCATTGAAAACGTGATTTTGAAATTTTCAAGTTGGCACCTGAGATTTAATTTATATACGCTTATCTTCTTCTTTATACGTATCAAATGTGCCAGTAATCATATACTTTAAGTGCGATTACCTCATGTGGCACTCAAGAATTTGATACCGTTAGACAATTGCACGCAGCATTTCACTTTTCATCCATTCACCTGCAAAGAAGTGCACCTTTGTAGATTCTTTAACAATAAACACACCGCGGTCTACAAGCTGCAATCGAAAAGAGTTGTTGCATGCGGAGGTAACTGTTACGCGCGGCCAGCCAGATTTGCGCATTCATTTTCAGTTATAAAGTCGTTTTCCACGTTCGCACGCTCAACGCGCGTTTATTCTATCGCTTTGAGGCAGCGTATACCGGTCAACTATAGCTGTACATGTGCAACAATTACTTCTAGTTTTGTGGCAGCCACAGAGTGTTGACAATGGTGGTGAAGTGTGCGGGCAGTTGGTAATAAACGCTTAAAAAGATTTGGTCAAAAGTTGCGGGACATTACTCATGTTCGGCTCTAAATTTTTGTTGTTTTGTTGTATGCAGTGAACCCAAATCTTAAATGTTGCATGTATGTCGCTGTTGATGACGATATTGTTACGAGTTTTTCCTCTGCCAGCATTGCTGTTGTTTTTGCCTTGCTTGCGTTTCGACATGTGCACTTGCAGACTGCAGATTCAGAGCAGCGCCATTTAAACTCGCTCGACAAGCGTCTGGCGTTCACTTGCTTGCTGT